TAGTCCACCTGTTAGTAGCTTTGCCACGATGGATAGGAGGATGATACTTCAAAATTGGGGATAATTCAAATTGGGGACTAGTTGGTAGATTGTGGTGAAGTATCTAGAAGATGAAGTTACTTTGAACATTAAGTGTTTTCTCCGGTGATCACTTCTATATCTATTTGGTTACAAGCTTGGTTAGTGAGGGTTTAATTGAATTAGCATGTGATCTTTGTGGTTCTCAAGGTGAAACAACAGTTCACATGTTGAGATACTTTATATCTGCAATGTGTTCTGTTTTTCTTATTCATTATTGTCATATCCAATGATTTTAATGGAACTTATAGGGAAATATTCTTTATATTATAAACAAATATAGTTGGATTACTCAGTAATCAATGCTCTTTCATGGATTATATCTAGGGTAATGGAAGAATTTGAAGCATGCATCACAAAATAAAACAGGAATAAGCAGAGCAGGAGGAGCTGAAACATGCATTATGCCATTATGCTTTATTCATTTAAAACTATAGCATGTTTCCATTTCACAACTGGGTATTTAGATTGGTTTGATGGTCAAATTACAGTCTTACCACTTAAAATTCAAATGAATCTAATCTTGGTCAAAAACCTTAGTTGTAATCACTTTATTTCCCAAACCTGAGTATGCTAATTTAATTTTAAAGGTGGAATAAACTCTTTTGCTATGGAGCAACCTTGCTTCATGTAATTTAGAGAAGACTGGGCTACATCAGCACACCCACATACACAGAAACATATGTTGGTAACTAGTGATTGGGATGCTTTAATAATTAAAATGTTTCTGTTACCAAGACATAGTTCTCCTTCCAATAACCTATTACGTTTTCTAAATCTTCCTTTCTGTTGACAAATTAGTAATGGCCAGACATGCTTCCAACAATCGAAGTTTTTATTATTTCAACTGGGAAGCAGGAAATTACTGAATTAAATGTTTAAAGTTGTGTCCATTTGTACATGTACAAATACGGAACTGTTGTTTATTACAAGTGATGTGATGTCTAGATATATAATACGAATTGATCATCTGTAACGTAATACTTATATTCTTTCTTCCTTTTAGGTTTAAAACCACATTTGTTCTACAAGCGCCTAGTCAATGAGCATGCTAAAAAGTTGAAGCCACTCCCATTATATCAAACTCATAATGAAGGATGTGAATGCCTACCTAAGTTGAAACCCACTCTGTTGATTGATGACATGAGCTATACATCTTCAAACACATTGCATCAGCGTAGATGGCTAAAATGGTGTGTCCAAGATTGCATATTTGTTTTTGGTATATAAAGAGAAAAAAAAAATTAAATATGATATCTTTGACACATCCATCTTAGCCATGATGTAGAAGTCAAAGAAGGAAACATCACATCATAACTCACTCATGAATAATCAAACACATTTCAAGAGGTTTGGTGCTTATATATTGCAGTATTACTTGGATGGCCCCTTGGAGTTTTAGTGTCAAGTATAGCCCTTTTATTTTTGTTAATTTAATTGAATAATCAATCGTAACTCATTCAAGTACTTTTATATTATATCGACGCCTAGTCCCACAAACTGAAATAAAAAATGAGGCGAGAATTATATGTAGTTAGGCTAGGGCCCATCCTAGTTGACAATGCAAAAGGTTTTTAATCTATATTTAACAACTACCCACTTATTATGTGATTGTTTGACAAAGTTAAGCCTTCAATTAGTCACATGAAAGATAATAATAATTAGTGGCAGTTTGGAGTTTGAAACTCATTGTCCTTGATGTTTAGCATAAATTTCCTCTTGATATAGTTCATAGAATCATGGTTTCTCTTTTGGGTTTTGATGTTATCCTCTTTCCTGATATGTATAGATATCATCCTCTTACCTTATATGTACAGATAAATTCTGGAATTGATCACTTGACTCGAATGAACTTGTGATAACGTTGATAACCTTGTAAACTATGAATGGAAGAGCACAAGATTTTTGAGGAACTCTTAGTGGTGGAATTAGAAACTATTAGGCAGCTTCTTAGGTGTCTAAGAAAGAGTTGTGTAATGGATACAAGTGCGAGATAATGTGGGGAAGGCTCATTGTATTTATCTTATGGGGGAGGCATCAATTATATTTAAGGTGAAAATGGTTTATGAAGTTATTGGGTGTGGAAAAATGTTCAAACATCGATCCCTGAAAAGTACAAATCGATAAAGTTGTCATCTTAAGTGGTTTTCTTATCCTTCCACCCCTTCGCCAGGTCCCTTGATCCTTTAATTATGGTGAATCTATTGGAATTTTTTAGGTGACTATTAATTGCAGTTATATTGAAATGGTATAAGCTTATGTGAATAGCCTGTTCACATGATTCATTTGTTAAAGATCATCACTAGCCCAATAGAACAAATATTATCTAGAAGACTTTAGCTTGTTCTAGAACGCTCTAGAAGATTCTAGAACATTATGGAAGACTATGGAAGACTCCGGAATATACCGGAAGAGTCTAGAATACTCTAGAACGACATGAAAGACCCTGGAAGGTTATGGATCATTCTAGAAGACACTGGAGCAACCTAGACCTCTCCAGAACATGGTAGAATATTCTAGAAACATATGGAAGCATATAGAGTATGTTAGATAGTTCTAGAGTTATCTAGTAGGTAGTAAGTGTATACTAGTATCTAGAACCTTCCTAAGAGGCCTATAAATAGGTGTGGAGCTCATTTGCTCCAAACCATCCAAGAAAGCCTCAAAGAGAGCAAAGTGTGTAGTAGTCTCACAAAGTGTAAGGTCTTCTTAAGTGTCTTAATAAAAGTCTTTTTGTTTCCCATACAAAGAGTCGTGTTCAACAATCTGGTATCAGAGCAAGGTTTCTTGATAGTGAGAACGAGTGATTCTCGTTGTATCGTGAGTAGTTTGTGACTCTGCAAGTTTAGTGTCGAAACTAGCTTGTTTGGTATTACCGAGGTACTGCCAACACGATGGGTGATCTCCAAGTCGTCGGAGGAATCAAGAAACTCAACAACAACAACTACAAAACATGGGAAACATGTATGAAGTCCTACTTACAAGGACAAGATCTATGGGAGGTCGTTGGCGGAAGCGAAACCACGCCTCCGGAGGAAGATGTTAATGGCGCTCTACGCAAATGGAAAATCAAAGCAGGCAAAGCAATGTTTGCCTTGAAGACCACAATCGAAGAAGAGATGTTGGAGCATATTCGGGACGAGAACACACCGAAAGAAGCTTGGGACACGTTTGTGACGCTTTTCTCAAAGAAGAATGATACAAGACTACAACTTTTGGAGAACGAGCTATTACCAATCTCACAACGTGACATGACGATTGCTCAATATTTCCACAAGGTCAAGTCGATATGTCGGGAGATTACTGAACTAGATCCGCAATCCGTCATTACAGAAGCTCGAATGAAGAGGATCATCATCCATGGACTGAGGCCGGAATATAGAAGCTTCGTTACGGCTGTACAAGGATGGCCCGTTCAACCATCACTTGTAGAGTTTGAGAATTTGTTGGCCAGCCAAGAAGCTATGGCTAAGCAAATGGGAGGCATCACGCTGAAGAGTGAAGAAGAAGCACTCTACACAAGTAAAAGTCGGAGGAATTTCAAGCCACCTTCTAAAGAAGGATACAAAAATGCTGACAAAGGGAAGAGTCAGCCAGGAACCTCACAACCATGGAGATCTCAAAAGACCGACAATAAGAGTTCTCGGGGGAGGAGGTTCGAAGGCAACTGCAACAATTGTGGAAAGTGGGGCCACATGTCCAAAGATTGTTGGTCAAAGAAAAAGTCTGTGGAAAGCAATGTCGTAACTTCCAAAAAGGAAATAGAGGATGAATGGGATGCTGAGGCATTATGCGCCATAGAAGAAAACGAGTTGGCGCTCATGGCAATGATGGGAGAGCGTATCAACTATGAGAATGACTGGATCATTGATTCAGGATGCTTCAATCACATGACTGGTGATCAGAACAAACTACAAGACGTGAAGGAGTACAAAGGGAGTCGCATGGTACTTACAGCCAACAATGCACGACTTCCAATTGCTCAGATTGGCAAAACAACGATCATGCCTGGTAATAAATCTGACATGGTGTCACTACATAATGTCTATCACGTGCCAGGTATGAAGAAGAACTTGTTATCGGTATCGCAACTAACATCATCAGGAAACTACGTCTTGTTTGGCCCACAAGATGTGAAGGTCTATCGAGATCTTAAAATATCAGAAAAGCCAACAATGGAAGGACGGAGAGTGGAGTCCGTCTATGTTCTCTCCGCAGAGTCTGCCTATGTAGATAAGACTCGTAAGAACGAGACAGCAGATCTATGGCATGCACGGCTGGGACATGTTGGTTATCACAAGTTGAAGGTAATAATGGAGAAATCCATGCTCAGTGGCTTACCTCAACTTGAAGTTAAAACAGATGTTGTTTGTGCTGGATGTCAGTATGGTAAAGCTCATTAATTACCATACAAGGAGTCAAATTTTAGAGCAAAGAAGCCACTAGAGTTAATTCACTCGGATGTGTTCGGTCCAGTCAAGCAGACATCAATTAGCGGGATGCGGTACATGGTGACATTCATTGATGATTATTCGAGATATGTGTGGGTTTTCTTCATGAAAGAAAAATCTGAAACATTCTCAAAGTTTCTAGAATTCAAGACAACGGTCGAAGGAGAAGTGAGAAAGAAGATTCGGTGTCTACGCTCAGACAATGGAGGAGAATACACCTCGGAAGAATTCAATAGCTATCTAAAAGAATGTGGTATACGTCATCAATTCACATGTGCCAACACACCTCAACAAAATGGTGTAGCTGAGAGAAAGAATCGACATCTTGCAGAAATTTGTCGAAGCATGCTACACGCGAAGAATGTCCCAGGAAGATTTTGGGCTGAAGCAATGCGAACTGCTGCCCATGTGATCAATAAACTTCCCCAACCAAGGTTAGGTTTCATCTCACCATTTGAGACACTATGGAACATGAAACCTACTGTTAGCTACTTTCGAGTATTTGGTTGTGTCTGCTACGTATTTGTACCTAGTCATTTACGTAGCAAGTTTGACAAGAAAGCAGTCAGGTGTATATTTGTTGGATATGACAATCAAAGAAAAGGATGGAGGTGTTGTGATCCAACAAGCGGAAGATGCTACACTTCAAGAGATGTAGTGTTCGATGAAGCATCTTCATGGTGGTCCTTAGAGAAGAAAGTATTACCAGACTCGGAAAATATTGAAGAAGTTTTAAAACAAAAGATGGGGGAGCAAACTGCACACATTTGGTCAAGTGTTGATACACCTGAAGATCCGAGCGACACTGATGTCATTAAGCAAGAAGTAACTCAAACAAGTAATGCCGGTGAAAGGGAGACGCCGCCTCCACAACTTCGAAGGACGGAAAGAATCCGAAAGCCTAATCCCAAGTATGCTAATGCGGCTATTTTAGAAGACGGTGTTAAAGAGCCGGAGACATATGAAGAAGCAATTAAGAATAAAGCTTGGCAGAAGGCAATGGAAGAAGAAGTTACAGCCTTAAAGCAGAATCAAACGTGGGAACTGGTACCAAGACCAAGAGATATAAAACCCATTTCCTACAAGTGGGTTTATAAATTAAAGCGACGCACAGATGGATCAATTGAAAGATACAAGGCTCGTTTGGTGGCTCGAGGGTTCTCACAACAATATGGACTGGACTATGATGAAACATTTAGTCCAGTGGCGAAGATAACTACTGTACGGGTGCTGCTAGCTCTTGCAGCTAGTAAAGACTGGAAATTATGGCAGATGGATGTGAAGAATGCTTTCCTGCATGGAGAATTAGATCGGGAGATCTACATGAACCAACCAAAGGGATTTGAGGATGCAGTTAATCCCACTCATGTGTGCAAGCTGAGAAAAGCTCTTTACGGATTGAAGCAGGCACCAAGAGCCTGGTATGGTAAGATTGCTGAATTTCTTACCCGAAGTGGTTATTCAGTTGCACATGCAGACTCAAGCCTGTTCGTCAAAGAAAAAGAAGGGAAGTTGGCAATTGTGTTGGTTTATGTAGATGACTTGATCATCACCGGGGATGACGAAAGAGAAATCCATCAAACAAGAGAAAATCTATCGGTGCGATTCCAAATGAAAGAGCTGGGGGAGCTTAAACACTTCTTGGGGTTAGAAGTTGATCGTACAAAGGAAGGGTTGTTCCTCTGCCAACAAAAGTATACAAGAGATATACTTCAAAAGTTTGGCATGTTGGAGTGTAAGCCAGTATCAACACCAATAGAGCCAAATACCAAGATATGTGCTAATGAAGGAAAAGAGTTGGACGATGGAACGATGTATCGACAACTAGTAGGTAGTCTTATCTACCTAACTTTATCTCGGCCTGACATTGCTTATGCAGTTGGAGTTATGAGTCGATACATGCAAAATCCGAAGAAACCTCATTTGGATGCTGCCCGACGGATCTTAAGATATGTCAAAGGTACAATTGACTATGGTCTCTTGTATAAAAAAGGAGAAGACTGCAAGTTGGTTGGATATTGTGATGCTGACTATGCAGGAGACCATGATACCCGAAGATCAACCACTGGGTATGTGTTCAAGCTTGGGTCGGGGCCAATATCATGGTGTAGTAAAAGACAACCAACCGTATCATTGTCAACCACAGAAGCGGAGTACAAAGCAGCGGCCGTAGCAGCTCAAGAAAGTACATGGTTGGTACTCCTAATGGAGGACTTACATAAAAAAGTTGACTATGCGGTACCACTTCACTGCGATAACCAATCTGCAATTCGGCTGGCAGAAAATCCAGTATTTCATGCTAGAACAAAGCATGTGGAAGTGCATTATCACTTTATCAGAGAGAAAGTCTTGATGGAAGAAATTGAGATGCGACAGATCAAGACCGATGACCAAATAGCAGACTTGTTCACCAAAGGACTGAGTATTGGAAAATGTGAAGGTTTTCGTTGTCAGCTTAACATGGTACGAAGAATGAGGGCTAGTGCTGAGGGGGAGTGTTAAAGATCATCACTAGCCCAATAGAACAAATATTATCTAGAAGACTTTAGCTTGTTCTAGAACGCTCTAGAAGATTCTAGAACATTATGGAAGACTATGGAAGACTCCGGAATATACCGGAAGAGTCTAGAATACTCTAGAACGACATGGAAGACCCTAGAAGGTTATGGATCATTCTAGAAGACACTGGAGCAACCTAGACCTCTCCAGAACATGGTAGAATATTCTAGAAACATATGGAAGCATATAGAGTATGTTAGATAGTTCTAGAGTTATCTAGTAGGTAGTAAGTGTATACTAGTATCTAGAACCTTCCTAAGAGGCCTATAAATAGGTGTGGAGCTCATTTGCTCCAAACCATCCAAGAAAGCCTCAAAGAGAGCAAAGTGTGTAGTAGTCTCACAAAGTGTAAGGTCTTCTTAAGTGTCTTAATAAAAGTCTTTTTGTTTCCCATACAAAGAGTCGTGTTCAACATCATTAGTCAAAAAAGCAATGTTTGAAGGCTTACCTTCTGCCTTTAAATTTTTTGATAAATTAAATGAATTCTTCAAATTCACATTTAAACATCATTGATACTCCGCATTAAAAAATAAAAAAATATTTCTCTTGTCCCATATGTCCCAATATCAAAGAGTGGATCACTAAGATTTTAACAAAAGAGTTCTCATGTTTCTGTAATTCTTGTTTCATCATTCTATCTTTTAATTGGTTACTTAAGTTAACCTTTAGGCCCACTCTCCGTAATTGTCCTATGAAAATTTTAGACCAAGTTATACTGATTTGACTTGGTTTAGATCTTGACAGGGATATTAGGTTTTTGTATCTATGCTTTTGGGTGTGTGCATACACACAATCACACAGGCACATGCACACACACAGACATAGTGCATGGGCCTAAAATGTAAACAAAGTATATTTGGTAAAATCATGAAATTTCCTCAGTTTAAATAGGTCAATAACCATTTATATACATATGATTTTCCATGGTTTATGTAATATAGTTTGGATATTAATGGTGAATTCACAATTAATGGTGGTTAGAAATTTTTTGGTGATAGTTATTTATATTTCAAAGAATGCCTTGGATACATTTTATTTTGGATCGTAAAGTTTAATTTTAGTTTAGTGATGTTATATTCTTGGGTATGCCATTTCCATCCATACCTAAGCAGGTGAATTCACATCACCATAAAGTTACTTGTGGTTGGGTTAGTGAGACTAACAGTAATTTTTACTTGAAAATCCAGAGTTGAAATTTTTAGTCACACATAATGGTTGCCTGTTGTACCTTGTGTATAACGGGTTGGTGGGTGGGTGTGGATAGAGGTTTCAATAGAAGCATGTGTGGGATAACCAGGAGAAACTAGATACCCCTGCTTATGCTCAGGTAAGTTTGGTTACAACCTTTCTTTCTTTTTATTTATTTTTCATTCTTTTTCCTTTCCTTTTTGAAGGAAAGTCAAAACACAAAAATATTCGGTATTGATTAGAAACTAACATGAGTTAGTTACTGATGCTCAAAGTAAGTAAAAGAATCAATGCTTTATATTTCATGTTGGATCACAGGCCCTCAAGTGGTCTCTCAAATAACACACACTCACATGTATATATGTATACAGAAAGCAAATATGGAGAGATGGAAGTATTTTGGACTCAAAGCTGCTGCACACCCCACTAATATTCAGAAAACAAAGGGCTATATATATAGCCTACAAGTACCTAACCGAAGCCAACAAAAACAATCTAAAAACTATCTAACTACTCCTTAAGACTAGGATGCTTTAAAGACCAAGTACATTCACGTGCATTTCCCATGAACTGGTCAACTACCTTTATTCTAAAGCTAAATAAAACAAATACTAAATATTAACCCATATGCATCAAGATTATCCAACATTTCATATATTTAAATCTAATCATCTTTGTCTTGAAAGTATATTGTGAGTACATGTAATTTAGTTCACCAACTGTTTACAACAAAATTGAGGATATAGAAAGTCGCATAGTTATGTCTTGAACAATTGAAAACAACTTTTCACATAAAATGTAAATCAGAGACAATTATTTAAGCCCTATAATTACAAAAATGGAAGATCATAGTTTATATATTCTTATATGTTTCTTGACAAAATAATAGCACAAATTCTAAAAATAAGTTTTATATATTTGTATTTTCTGTAAAAAGTCAACCATCCATTTAAAAAGAATAATTAAAAGAATCTAAAGTCTAAACTTCAAAAATATAGAATGCCACTCAGCTATAGCTATATTTTATATAAGAAAATGAACCAACCAGTAAAAAGGATAAAAATAATCAGTTGTCTAAACTTAAAAAATATGGAATACCACGTGATCAGTGATAGCTGTATTTCTTTAAAAAGTCAACCATTCGATAAAAAAGAAAAAATAAGTGAATCCAATGTCTGAACCTAAAAGATATGGAATAAAACTCAGATGTTAGCTGTTCATATTTAGTTTATTATGTAGGTAATATATTCTTCATCTTTTATTTAGACCAGGTTTAAGTGAGTAGTGATTTTGTTTACGACGTTTCTTTAATTAATTCAACTGTTCACAAAAATTGAATATATAAGAAGTCAACAAAGTTAGGTCAAGAATAGGACAAAACAAATTTCACAAGAAAAATGTAAATCAGAGATCATTATTTGATTCCTATAATTAAAAAGTTGGAAAATCATATATTTGTTTATGTTTCTTGACAAAATAATGACACATTCTAAAAATGAGTTTCATATTATTTTCTCTAACAAGTCAACCAACCATTAAAAAAGAAAAGATAGAAAGAGTCTATTGTCTATACATAAAAAACAGGGAATACAACTCAGCTGATAGCTGCTGTTTATATCTAGTTTATTAGGTAGGTTAAAAAAAATTCATCTTTTATTTTAAACTGGTTTAAGTTGATAGGGATTTTGGTTACCGCCTTTCTTTAATAACTGTCTACATAAAATGAATATATAAGAAGTCTCAAAGTTAGGCGTTGCACATATCAAAATAATTATTCACAAAAAATGTAGATAAGAGACTATTTTCCGAGCCATATAATTACAAAAGATGAAAGATCATAAGTTATATATTCTTTTATGTTTCTTGACAAAGTAATGGCACATATCTTAAAATGAGTTCCATATATATATTTTTTTATAAAAGTCAACCAACCAATTAAAACAGAAGATAGATAGAATCTAATGTCTAAACTTAAAAAATATTGATAGTAATATCCTCACGCAACATATTCTCATTTACATTTCATTTTAAAAGAAAAGTCATGATGGTGGATGATAATCATTAATTAATCAACAATTATATATGTTGACATCACGTCCAATGATTTAGTCAAATTTCATTACATAAACATATTGAGTGAAATGTGTTTTTTGTCCTTTTGCTTATATAAAAATTATGGATTCCGCCCCATAAGGTTTTTATTGTGTGGAGGATCCTTGTACTTTTGGTGTATTATATATTTAACAATATATGAAGACATGTTTTTATTTTTTTTATTTTTTTTAATTATTACTCTTTGGTGGAAATGATCATTTAACAAATGTGAAATTCATAGCAAAGGATAAATTTACACGGTCTCAATAAAATATGTGATCATTTATGTAAAAAATAAAACAATGTTAATTTTATTAAAAAACTTTTTTCTAATTTGGGCATTTTTGTGATCTTTTTGATACTTTAAGGGCTTATGTTGATAGTGTGGAGAAGTGTGATGACTGATAATGAAACGCTGAAACTAGTAAATATACACAGGGATTATAATTACTTTCTTTGTTTGCTTCACTCCCTCGTTAATCGATCTGAAGAATTGAGAGAAAAGAGTCTACAGTGAAGGAAAGGTACCCACCTACTCGAATCAATCCTTGCTGAAAGAAGAAATAAAGGAAGAAATCTTATGGAAATTGAAGTATAAGCTTGCAGAGTAAAGAGCTTAGAAAGTGTGCCTCCTGAGTTTGGTGTTGCTGGGAATCTGAGGTACGTTCCTCAAGCTGATATACTGATTAATTATAAGTACTTACCTAGAAAGAAATGGAAGTGTTAATGAAGTTTTATATAAGTTATTGAATAAATTTATCAAAGAGTTCAAAAAATGTCGATCCGGAATGTGAGAAATCGTATACTGACCTAAATTTGTCAAAGCTGTCAAGTTTTTGAATTAGTGTAGTTAGATGATCAAACTAAGCAATTTGTGAAGTTAATATGTTGTTGTACATGTATGTTATAAACTAATGGGATTTGGAGCAAAATGAGTCTAATGGTGTGTACGTGTTGTGGATCCAAATAAAAAATCTAACAGGGGGACGAGTTGTAATGCCTGGGAATTTCGAAATGCTGATTATTCAAATACAGTGTAAGTTGATAATTGATGAAATTTCGGTGTATAAGTTATTTGACAAATAGCATAACTGATGAAATAAATTTTGGGGTGAGAATGTGCAATATAAGAATAAGAAGTTTGGTGGCTAAATGTTCAGACTCCAAAACTCAAGTAAATTTACTTTTGTTTAGTACATAACAAAAAAACATGTTTAAATAACTCATTCCATTCCTTCGAGCAAATCTAACATGACAATGAAATGGAATCATCTATTCTATTACCTCTTTCATTCTATTCCTTCGAGATTCCATCCATCATACAAACAGACCCTATGGGAAGTATTATACTTTTTCGTTATTTTCACTATGTGGTGAAATAAATCCTGTGGAAATTGGAGTATGAGCTTGCAAAGTAAAGAGTTCGGACAGGGCGTTTGCTTTAGTTCAGTTTTGCTGGAAAATATTCTCCACTTCTTTTAAGAAATATCTCAATCTAGAATATAGAGTAAAACATTACTTTGTATGATGTGATTGTGGAAAAACTAAGTAGCTAACTCACATTGCCTACGTCAATTCATTCCTACCTTTAGAATTGTGAATTGTATTGTACTTTCAAATGAGTTTCTATAACCAAAAAATGAAAAAGAAAATGTGAGGACTAGTTATGAGATTTTCTACATGTTAACCTGTTACTTGAGTAGTGAGTTATGAGTTCTGACATGGTTTTGCTACATGGTAACAGGTTTTATTGGCAACTCACATCTCTTTGTATAAAGTTCTTATCATTGAGGTTCTCAAACCGGTTGTATTCTATCCCAACAAATCAACACATTGATGGCATCTTCATCATCTTCTCCTTCTGTTCCGGCCTTTTCTACTCAACCGTGGAAGTACCATGTTTTTCTTAGCTTTAGAGGCGAAGATACTCGCAGGACTTTTGTGGATCATCTCTACACAGCTCTTGAACAACAAGGGATCTACACTTACAAGGACGACGAAACACTTCCACGGGGCGAATCGATAGGTCCATCCCTTGTGAAGGCTATAGAAGAATCTCAAATTGCTGTCATCATATTCTCAGAGAACTATGCCGACTCTTCATGGTGCTTAGATGAACTTGCATGTATTATCAAATGCAAGGATGTGAAAGGCCAAATCGCTATGCCCATATTCTACGGTGTGGATCCCTCTGAAATACGAAAACAAAAACGAAAAATAGGAGAAGCATTTTCCAATCATGAGCTGGAGAACAAGAGCAAGGTTGATTCTTGGAGAAAAGCACTTGTGGACGTAAGTAACATAGCTGGATGGGAACCCAAGCACGTTGCCAATGGGTGATGCTCTTTTTTATTTTTACACTTATGCCTAGAATATGCATGTTCTACAACACATTTATGCTTGTACCTTGTTAGCTTTTTATTCAAATATAATTCTTCTTGATGATGTTGATGACAGTGATAAAAAAAATACTTGACTAGATCAATTGATAAGTTATGTATAGGCTTAATTAATGTTATGATGGACTTCATTGACTTCTAATTCTAGTTTAATACCTAATGCCTTGCTGATCAAGCTATGAAAAAAAATCCATCTTGCTTTGTTTTTTGCTATTTGAAAATATTCAATGTTTCCCAAGAATATTGCTACTACATTTACTTGTGATATGAACTTTACAAGTCCAATTTTGAATCTGAAATTTCTTGGAGCATGAAACACATTACTCTTTTCTCCATTCAGTTACGTGTTAATTAGCCGTGTATATCCAACATGTAGGCATGAATCAAAGGTTATCAAAGAAATTGCTGACACAATTTCACAGACTTTGAAGCTAGTAACTTCAAGTGCAAACGAGAACCTAGTTGGAATAGTGGCCCGCATGGAAAGTTTGAAATTAGAGTTACAAATTGGGTCCGGAGGTGTGCGCATGATTGGTATATGGGGGGTTGGGGGTGGTGGTAAGACTACACTTGCATCTTCTATTTATGATGAAATCTCTAGCAAGTTTGATGGCTGTTTCTTTGTAAAAAATATCCGGGAGGAATCAAGCAAGAATGGTTTGGTAAGCTTGCAAAAAAAAATTATTTCCGGTGTTTCGAAACAAAAGGAAGTGCAGGGAATAGAGAGAGTTGAGGAAGGAAGACGCATGATAATGGGTAGGCTATGCCATAGAAAGGTCCTCATTGTTCTTGATGATGTCGATCGGCTTGACCAACTAGAAGCCTTAGTTGGATCACATGATTGGTTCGGTGAAGGAAGCCGAATAATAATCACAACTAGAGATGAGCATGTATTAAATGCACACAGAGTCAATGTGACACACAATATTAGCTTGTTAAACAATGATGAGGCTATTAAGCTCTTTTGGAAGCATGCACGCTGGGATTACGCACCCATGGAAGCTTATGAGCAGCTCTCAAAAGAGGTGGTCTCTTATGCCGGTGGGCTTCCATTGGCACTTACAATTCTCGGTTCTTTTCTGTGTGACAAGAACATTAAGGAGTGGAGGAGTGCATTAGCTAGACTGAAAGAGATTCCAAATGATAATATTTTGGAAACGCTAAAAATCAGCTTTGATGGACTTGCAAAGGTTGAGAAAGAGTTGTTCCTTGATATTGCATGTTTCTTTAGGGCGGAAGAGAAAGACAAGGCAATGGAGATACTCGAGGCTTGTGGTTTTCATCCAGTTATAGGAGTGAAGGTGTTGGTGCAAAAGACTCTCATAACCATTTCAGATGGAAGGTTTGATATGCATGATCTGGTGCAAGAAATGGGACACCACATTATTAGAGGAGAACACCCTAATAATCCTGGAAAACATAGTAGAGTTTGGAAGAATGAAGATGTTCTGAAAATATGTGCTATGGATGCAACCATGGTAATGTTTAAGCTAAGCTTTGTATGATATATCCTGTATGTATAAACAAACACTTTTGAATCAATCCTGACACCATTTTGTTCCTCTATCTTAAGGGACTTGACAAGATCAAAGCAATAAATATGAGTTTCCAGTCTGAGACAGAAGAAGAAGAGGAAGATCTTCCTTCGGTTGCTGCAAACATGAAGAACCTACGGTACATGGATTCGAGAGGTGATCCTGCAAAATCATTATTTCATGACCTTCCACCAAGGGAGCTTTGCTGTCTTATATTGTCCTCAGGATTGCAAAAACAACTTTGGGAGGGTTGTAAGGTAATTCATATTGTTTATCACTTTATCTAATTAACAGATGAAAACAAAGTTGATGATGAATTACAGACATGACTAATCCTGAGTAAATTTCAATTGTCTATAGTATTGAAATGCATGTCCATGGACCTTTATTCTGTGAATGTCCTTTGTCTTATTAACTATAATTTTTTCAAAATATAACTAGTTTCTTGACTTATTATTCATTGTAATCCATGTTATTTATGTAAAGCCCATCTTCAATCTAAATATCCTCATGTCTTAACATACATACAAATTTCTTTTTGTTTTTTGCGAAAATAAATACCATGTCTATTTACATGAAATTTTAATCTATTTTTTGTTGATTAAAAAACATTAGATCATTGATATGGGTTTAAAGATCTTTTAGTATCTTGTTTTTCTTAAGTGATATATAGATATTTTATTAAACAGTTGAACTCTTCAAATGATTTCCATTTGTGGATGGAAGGAACTATTATCTCAAGTGAAACCGTGTATATCTGATTATTCATAAAAGATTACAACGATCCTAATATATATATTGAAAGATGCTATTAGCTAAATACAATTAGGTACCCTCTAATATAAAACAATGTATTAAACTAAACTAATTAACTTAGTCTAACATTCCCCCGCAAGCTAAGGGCGGGAAACAACCTGTAGCTTGGATCGCAAGAACAGAAATCTTTGAGAGGGCAACGGCTTTGTAAAAACATCAGCGATCTGATCAGCAGTGGAAATGAACTGAACACGGAGTTGACCGGAAGCAACTCGTTCACGAACAAAGTGAAAATCCACTTCAACATGTTTAGTGCGTGCATGAAATACCGGATTAGCAGAGAGATAAGTAGCACCAAGATTGTCACAGCAAAGAGTGGAACGCAAGAACAGAAATCTTTGAGAGGGCAACGGCTTTGTAAAAACATCAACGATCTGATCAGCAGTGGAAATGAACTGAACACGGAGTTGACCGGAAGCAACTCGTTCACGAACAAAGTGAAAATCCACTTCAACATGTTTAGTGCGTGCATGAAATACCGGATTAGCAGAGAGATAAGTAGCACCAAGATTGTCACACCAAAGAGTGGAACGGAAATCCATTTTATGTCTGTTATAGGGGCGTAGGTGAGGAAAACACTCACAACCAAAAACCCGAAGAAAAGTGTAGTCTGGCTTTCGATTGAATGTATGTTGATAAGGTGATCTGTTTGATGAGGTTCGAGATGGTAGGCGATTTATAAGGTATACTGCTGTCTCAAATGCAAATTGCCAAAAACGTTGGGGAAGATTGGCATGAGCAAGAAGTGTGAGACCAGTTTCAACCACATGACGATGACGTCTCTCAACAAAACCATTTTGCTCGCTAGTATGAGGGCATGACCGACGATGAATGATTCCAAGGGATGAGAAATACGAAGAGAGATTGCGAAATCCCCCTCCCCAATCAGTTTGAACACTTTTGACTTTAGAATTGAATTGTCGTTCAACCATTTTAACAAAATTGATGAAGGTTTGAAAAACATCAGATTTATGTGGTAACGGGTAAAACCACATATAACGAGTGTGATGATCAACACAAAGCATAAAGAAACGACAACCATCAAAAGATAAAGTTGGTGCAGGACCCCAAACATCACAATAAATTAAGTCTAAAATGTTATTACTTCGAAAAGATGAACTAGGTAATGAAAGTTTGGAAGATTTCCCTAATTGACAAGAAGAACATAAATCTAAACATTGTTTTGTGGAAACAGGAAGCGAACAACTAGAAACAATGGTATTAAAAACTTGTTCATGTGGGTGACCAAGGCGGTGATGCCAGACACTTGAAGGAGCTTTAATTGCTGTGAGAGCGATCTTTGGTATTGGCTTCAGACTGGGAAGACACAGAGAGTAGAGACCATTATTACTTGGTCCCGTGAGAAGAGTGGTGCGAGTAAGTTCGTCCTTCACAATAAAGAAAGAAGAGTGAAATTCAAAGAAAACATTGTTGTCATTACAAAATTGTTGGACAGATAAAAGATTTTTCTTAACTTCAGGAACATGAAGGATATTAGAAAGATCAAAGGTTTTATTGGAAGAATAAATTTTTGAAGATCCAATATGAAGAATAGGGAGAGAATTACCATCACCAACATGAAGAGAGTCTGAACCATGATAAAACTCAGAAGTGTCAAGATTGGACAAGTCTGGTGTGGTATGAGAGTTTGCACCTGTATCAGGGAACCAGGTAGTGTTTGAAGTGGCGAAATTGGCTTGTAGGTTCGATCTTGTAGGGTTGCTAGCACCTTGATTATTTGGACACTGAGATGGTAAATGGCCAATGCCACATCGATTGCAATGACCAAACACAGTGTTTTGTGTGGAGGCCCAAGCAAATTGCCTAGAAGAGCTCGAGTTGTTGTTATCACGGGATCGATTTTGGAAATTTCCACGTGAGTTATTTCCACGCGAGTTTCCTCGACGATTGCCTCGATAGTTGTTTGCGGGTCGTGAAGCATAAAACGCTTGAGGAGTGCACTTTGTGGGGCAATCGGGTTAAGTTGGAAGCCAAGTTGGGACGCCATATTATGTAGAGATTGAAGTTGGCTTTGAAGGTTGATTGTGTTCCTGTTGAGGCAGTAAATACATGTGGCTGTGAAGCAGGGACAGCAGCAAGGTTTTTATTGATCATGTAGTCATGATCACTAAGCAAAGCATGCAACTCGATGAAGGTAATAGGTGGGTGACGGGCTAGAAGGGTGGACTTGAGTCCATTGTATTCTTCACGTAGCTCGGATATAACAAGAAGGACCAGATCCTTGTCTTTAACATGCTCACCAATGTTGGCAAGTGCAGTAGCATATTCTTGTGCACGTGCAAGGTAGGTAAGAGGAGTTTCATCACCTTTCATGGCAAGTTTTAGCAACTGAGTTTTCAGAGTGTACTCTCTGGAGGAGTTGTTTGGAGCATAAACACGTTCTAAATGTAACCAGAGATCTCGTGAGGTACTACCTTGGACGTGTTGGAAGGAAGATTCTGATATGGTGGAGATAATGATCATACGAACATGAGCATCGTTAGAGATCCAACGAGGGTAACTAGGGTTGTCTGTAATTGCATCTCCTATGCCGACTTTGGGCTCTGGGCATAGTATTGTACCGTCAACATAACCAAACAGATTGTTGGAGATAAGAAAAGGTTCGATCATAGCCTTCCAATACCCATAATTCGTGGGTGAGAGGGTAAAAGCAAACTTGTGAGAGTTATGAGAGTTTTTCTCTTGTGTAGTGAAGGCAGCTATGGTTGCCATGAAGCTTCTTGATTGACCAGCGATTAGGGTTTAGGCCGTGTCTTGGACTGCAGACGTGAGGGATGGCTGATAATAGCGTTTTAGGTTTACTTGGCTCTGATACCAAGTGAAACCGTGTATATCTGATTATTCATAAAAGATTACAACGATCCTAATATATATATTGAAAGATACTATTAGCTAAATACAATTAGGTACCCTCTAATATAAAACAATGTATTAAACTAAACTAATTAACTTAGTCTAACATCTCATATATAAATAGTGTATAATTGTGTCTGTCTTTTTGTGTGTGTGTGTGTGTGTGCCATTTTCTTCAAAATCTTGTCACCATGATACATTTTTGACTTGTTTGCACTTGTATTTAACAGTTTCTGCCAAGTCTGAAGTTACTGAAACTTCACTTTATGAATAACCTAATCATGACACCAGATTTTAATGGACTTCCAAATCTTGAAAGATTCAATCTTTACGGATGTTGGTGTTTAAAAGAGATTGATCCATCGATTGGATGCTTGGAAAAGCTTGTTTTCTTATCTATAGAAGATTGTCCTAGTCTTGAGATGTTTCCACCCATTAGTGGAATAAAGAAACTCGAGACCCTTTCATTCTCAGGTCACATCAAACTTGTTAAGTTTCCCAAGATCCAACAACAGAAGATTGGGAGAGAAGTTGCATCCCATAAAAAATCTTGTCTAAAACTCTTTTGTTAATTGTTTGAGGTGTAGTTGCAGCAATCTTCCTGGTGTAGAATGTTGTGTAGATGAGCCTGGTTTATGTCACAACATAAGGTTAGGGTTTTTTCACAACTTGCAAGAACTCAGCTTCTTAAGGAAATTGAATCTCAGACACCGCCATTTGGAAGATGAAGACTTAGGCTCTGATGTTTTAGAGTTTCCCAACTTGCAAGAACTCAATCTAGAAGGAAATGACTTTTCACGATTAAGTTTTAGTTGCTTGCGACTTCCTCGGCTCAAATGGCTCAACGTGTCATCTAACGAAGACCTTGTAGAATTGTCAGAGCTGCCACAAACTATAGCTGTTGTTAAGGCGAATTATTGTAGATCACTTGAAACCCTTGGAGACATTTCAAACTGTAAATGGTTGTGGAAAGTCTCACTTCTGGAGGATTACAAAGTAGATCCACTTGTTGGTGAGTTATTATTAGACTGCATGCTCCAGGTTTGGCTCTACGTACCTTTTGAATTTTGATCTTTATCACATTAACGCAAACATACAAATAAATGAATGTGTTTTCCATGGCAGGGGAATGCTATTGAAGATCATTTTATCAGTTTCAGTATTCCACATCAGATTCCAAAGGGGTTTGTAGGTAGCTTCTTTAGGGGAAAAACATTTACAAAGCATCTCCGACATCTTAATTACTACCCCGTGCATAATAAATCTGATGACGACACGTTTAGACTGCATCTTCCAGATGATTGGTGCAATGACTTTTGTGGGTTCTTAATACGCATTATTAGCCAAGGCCTATGTATGTGGATGGATATAAGCATCAAGCAGGATCCAGATGAAGAAGATTCTCGGTTTGAGATTTGGCAGGATCATAATGAATCACCAGAGCATGAATATGGGGGAGATGTAAGGACACACGTGGGATATGTTTCCTTTAGTTCGTTGAGGCAAACCACATCATTGAATTCATCATGCAGTATTATTTCATTTTCCATAAAGGGGTATATAACTTCATTTGCAGCTGAACTTGTTCCTAGAAAAAGTAAAGATAATTTGGTGCAAACAACAAAAGTTGCAACAGATTCCTCAGAATTTTGGGATGGGGAGAAGGATCTTTATAAGGCATTTATGATCCAAGATGATTCAAAATCTTCTATCAATATTATATGGCAATAAAACATCGCAGTCTGAACTTATATATGATTGTGATTACACTGCAACATACATGGAGAAACAAACTGCTAAGGGAGGAGAATGGATGACCTGAAGATGATGTTGCTTTGAACATTAAGTCTCTACTAGAATAAAAGGTATCAGCAACGGATATTTCCCGTAGGTAATTTAGCGACGGAACTACGAGGGTTCAAAAACGAAAATACACATATTTTATTGATTGTAGCCTTTTAGCGAAGGGCTAACGAGAGATTAACGAGGAAATGGCGACAGGTTTGCAATGGGCTTAATCCCTCGCTGAAAGATTTTCAGAAATAAAACCCAGTCGGTCACTGATTTTCATTTCTCTCCTTAGATTTTTCATTCCCCCAAATTTCACACAAAAAATAATTGGTTCCCTCTTAAGTCCACAGACTTCTTCTCCCTCCCAAATTGAGGTTGTCAACACTCACCCTATCGATCAATCGCTTGCTCACCATCACCTAGAAGACCAACTCTATCCTCACCAAGATACGAAAAGGGAAGGTTCATGCTCCATCCCTAACACCGACGATTTCATCACAGGTAAGCCCTCGTTTCCTCTGATTTCTTGGAATTGTTTCGTATAGGGATTTGAAGTTGTTTATTTTATAGATTTGGACCTGATTCTTTTCTACAAAAGAGTTCGATTGAGAATCAGTTTGAAACACATTCCAAGAAAATACTACTGGTTCCACTTCTTTCTTTTTTTTTTTTTTTTTTTTTTCATAAAAGCCTATTAATTTGGTTATGTTTGTTAGTAATCAGTTCACCAAATTCTGTTATATGTTTTCACCTCATTGTTTTGTGGTGTATATGGAAAAGCTCACATTTTGTAGCTGGACTTGTGTCCTTTCCCCACTTGTAACTTGTCTCCTTCCCCTTTGTTCTTAGAAAAAACGAATGAGGGCATATAATTTGAACAAAAACACAAGGTTGCTTTAACAACCAATTTCAAAGAATATATATTCAATTTATAAACAGATATCAGGCTTTACCACAAAGTAGGTGTTTATAAAAAATAGGTTTTTCTTCGGATTCTCTGGCTTGATGTTTAGCGTATGTTCAACAAATTATGTATTCTCGGTATGCAAAAGAAGATGTAAAATTGTAAAGGAACCTTATCAAATTTAAAGCATTCCTAAATATGATTAAAATTCATAATATAACTGCTTTTCCAAGAGTATGAAAAAATGTAAAACAATAAACTAAAATGTACATGTTTGCAAAGGTCTTCAAGAAATTCCGAATAAACAAAGGGCTTTACTTCATTGAATTTAGCAATGAAAGAATGTTTGATTAAATCAGTCATTTATTTGCATATGTCAACCACAATGGCATTATGCAACATCAAAAGTTAAAGAAATTCATAATTGAAAAACCATCTAAAATTCAATCCTTTTGAAACTTATCAGAACCAATTTTCCTGTTCAGGGGAAATATGTCCAAATATATAAAACATAAATAAAATACATTATAATTTTGACATACATACAGATACATAAAATATATAACATATATTACATACATGTTTATCTTAATTTTTTAAGAATTCAATGGTTAAGTTCTTGTTCAGGGGCAAATCTGTCTAAAATTAAAGATCATATAAAACATACAAAGAACAAGCCCAAAATGGCAATGTAATTTCAAACCTCAACCCATAATGATAATGTACTTCCATTGCTGGTGAAAAGTAAAAATGATAACAAATGCAGGGGAAAAAAAAAAAAAAGCACTGAATAAAGAAACATAAAGAAAAAGCAAACAAGCCATAAAGTCAAACCAATTATACATACAATGAAGACAAAAGTTGAAGACAGATACAAGAGAATATTATCAAAGAAAAGAGTTGACCACTTAAATTGTCCAGTTGCATTTGTTATATTTTTTTTGGCACCTATAAGTTTTGTATTTATGTGTAGTTGCATTTTTTAAGTATTTAAAAGTTACCAAATTGTGCAGATTACCCTTTTTTGTGCAGGTGTAGTCTATGATTTTTTTTTATTTTTTTTTACCATTAATGTATAGATTTCTCATGGTTCAATTCAACAAGAAGAAATAAAGATATTTGGATTTTATTTGAGTTATAAGAGTATTGATGTGCTAATCTAATTAAATATTTAATACCAGAACACAAAAGGGTTGTTATTTTGATAAACCCTGTTAAAAGTTCTTCCAGCTGATCAATAGAGAGGCACATAACAGATTAAACGATGTATAGATAGGAAAACCCATGATGAATGGAAAATCTGACCTTTGTTTTCCATTTTGTGCAGGTATCAAAAGCTGTTATAGCAAGGAAAAGTTGACAACCGAGACATTAGCCAAGGACTACTATCTAGGAGTTGGCATCTAGGTATGTTCATTAACAATTTGGTATTTCATTTAGTTAAAAATCAAATTATGGACTGCTTAGATGCCTGATTTTGATTGTGTTTGTAACATGAAACTTGTATAATGCTTACAAGTATGATTTTACCTATTATTATTTTCTGTTAAGAAATGAAAGTATATTGTTATTCTGAGTAATATATTGTAAATGTGTTTGCTATTCTCGCATAAATAGTTGTAGTATATTTATATCATTTGTCAAAAAATGTAAGTGAGTTGATGTGGTGGGTTATAGAAATATATTATGTTGCATTATGGGTGAAAATGAAGTACAATGCTATATGTGTAGCAAGAGTACGCATGTTGTTAATCTTGTATTTTTTTTTTTTTTTGGTTTAAAGTAATGGGTTATTCCATTGGCCTTTTTTTAGATGGACAAAGTCTTGCTTCTCATTGATGATGTTTTGTACCACAGTGAGTCGTTTTTAATGGTTATGGTTAATTGAAAAACCTTCCTTCATTTCTTTATATTTGAGCATTGTACTTTCATTTCTTTGTATTTGAACATTATTATACTTCCATATCTTTGTATTTAAGCATTGTACCTTTAAAAAACTTACCCATTATAGTGATGTACAAATAAAAATCAATTTCAATGCTATGCTTTGGTATATTTTTAAAGTTTAATGTATTAAGAGGCCATATAAATTTTCTTTTGATGTTGATTCAAGTTGAAAGTATGTTGTTACAAATTGTTTGCTTTGTAGGTTATTGTTGATCGTGTTCATGAGGAGGAGATAAAGAATGAGTTTAAGGTGGAACGTGAAGAAATTGAGGCCAAAAAGCAAGAAATTGTCAAGATGTATGACACTTTGAAATTGAATATTAATCTTCATTTAGCTAGTCAAAATATTGTTATTTAATTTAGTAGTTGAATTTTAATTTTAGTTTGATATATACATTGAATTTCATTTTGTAAATTCTTATTATAGATTTGGAACAACAAAACTAATGATATAAATGTCATCAACGACCAAAATGTGACGAAATCCATTGGTTTTCTGAGCTTTCCGACAAGTGATTATGTAGCCAAATAAATCAATAGCGACGGATTAGCGACGGAATAGAGGTTCCCTAAGCAGTTTATGTCATCGCTAATCCGTCGGTAATTCGTCGCTAAAGCCCTCGATAATCCATCGTTGACAATTAGCGACAAGGGTTTTTTCGACTGACCAATTCCGTCGCTGATAAAAAGCTGATAGAAAAAGCTAAGCTTGGGGAGGATGAGGAAAATGTGATTTCTGATACGAAGTTGAAAAAGAAAAATTATAAAAATGAGAAGATTTCCGGAAAGAAAATGAGAAAAAGAGAATAAAAAAATCCGAAAAAAAAACTTTTTGTCCGATAAAAATCTAAAGTCTTTTCAGTTTGCTATACAACCATCAGATGCACCCATTATGCCACATCTGAAGGGATATGTAGTGAGGAGAACGAGTTGAACTTCAGAGAAGTCTCAACCACTCCTTGGTTGGACAAAGTCGAGCCAACGACTTTATAAATGGGCGGCGTTCTGGGAGGCAATTCGATGAGTAGTTTATTTTTCTGCTTTCAATAAAGAGATAGTCGCAGTTCCAAGCAAGCTTAGGGAAAGCAGAGAATCGACAGAGTTGCTGAAATTTAATTTTTTTGCTAACATCTTCGTCAAAATCAGAAATTTCTGCAAACTTATCAGGTACATTTTTTCTTTGCTGCACCATTTTGTTTTTATATGCCTTATTAAACTGTTCATTCCTCTCTTTGAACATTGAGGACAATGCATCATTTTAAGCTTGGGGAGAAGGTTAGTGTAAAAATTTGCATTTTTTGTTAAAATTTTTTGAATTTTCTGTTTTTTTAGTAAAATTTTCAATTTTCCTTTTTGCATTTTATTTTCTGTACTGCATTCGCATAAAAAATTTGAAAATTCCAAAAAATGTTTTATTTTTTTATTTTTCTGCATTCATAAAAAAAACCCAAAAAGATATTTTATTTTTTTATTTTTCTGCATTCATAAACAATTGTGTTATTATAAATTTGGTGTTTAACTTGTGCATAATCATTGCTTTGTCATTTATAAATTGGTAGGCCTAGATATTTGATCATAATAGCTAGTAAATTGGTAATCAATATAATCTATCCATTAAAAATCAACCACAGGAGAAGGTGAAATCAGATCTAGGCAGAAGTATTCTTTTAATTTTTGAAGTTATTTTGTTTTAGTTTCTTGCTTACTGGTTAGGTGATATTAAGTTATTCTGATCTTGAAAAAATCAGTAAAAACCCCCCAAATCATAGTTTGTTTCATAGTTTAATTAGAAGTAGTTAATTTAATTAATTGAATTATGTTCTCTGTGATCGACACCCGACTTACCTGAGCTACACTATAATCTGAATAGGTATACTGCCTATAGGTGCATAGTTAGTAAGAGTTTGTTAGGTTATAAATTTAAAACTAAGTAGGTACTTTTGCACCGCATCAATGGGCATTTGATCGCATAAATCATATTGATTAAATACATATAATCACATTTCACTAAGTACACGTGAAAACGAATCTTGTCCGTATATATATATATATATATAATATATATATATATATATATATATATATATATATATATATATATATATATATATATATATATATATATAGGAAGGATCATTTGAGAACCTATAGTTTCCCGAGAACCCGAGAACTAAAAGTGGAACGTTCGACTAAAATTTTTAATGGCTTAGATTGATTGTGGCGTAATTGTAATTATCACTTGTTTAAATGGTATCTTAGACATTTTATAAATAATCACAAGGGCATATTAGGAATTAAAAATATCATTCATAATAATCAATTTAATAAACTAAAGAAACCCACACTCTCACACACAAAAACACGTCTTTTTTTCCCTTCCTCTCTTATCTCTCAAGTTCTTCACAACAGCCTCCCCACTTCTTCATCTGCCTCCTTCCGATGAATCTCTCCCCGTGGCGATCTCTCCACCTTCGATTTCCGCCAAAAATACTACCATATTGAGGATCAAATCGACGCACAGACTAACGATCACTTCGATTTGGCGAGGATCTCATACGAATCTAAGAATCAACCGATCTGTAATTTAACGCAGTGAACTAGATCGACGAAGCTTTGTTCTTGGTTGCGTTTATAAATGGTCGATTCGTTTGAAAAATCTCTTATTAATTTAAACAAGTCAACTACAATCAATGATATTCTTGTTTGATCTTTCAAATAATCGCAGTCATGATTCCATTATGCTCCGATCGATTCATGCATAACAAGTATTTCTAATTCTAGATTAATCGATGTTGCTCAAATCTATTTGCAATTTTCTCTTTACACACAACTAGTGATTCTCTGTTTATGTATAATTCCCGTTCTTCGTCATCTGTGCACTGTTTTGCCGGATTTTGATGCTACTTCTGGATTAATAAGAATAGGTTTTCTGTTTTAGTTATACTATATTTGAGTTTGATTGGTTATTAAGGTGATTTAGTAGCAATTATATTATTTTCGTGTAGGAATTTGTTTTTTCAATGCTAATTGTGCTATCTAACAGCTTCTGAATAGGAATCACCATCGATTCTTATGTGTTTTATTCGATCATCATCATTGTTGCACCTGCATATCTTAAACGCCTGTTTTCCTGTTTTATTTGACTGGACTGTATTTTTTAATGAAATAATATGAAGTTTTTGAATGATAGCATAGAAATTGCTTTTGTTTCTTACATGAACTAATTAGTGAAATTGTTGGATATCCCAATCCAAATCCAGTTACCCACATTAACCAATCTGAATAGCTTAAATGGTTTGAACTATAAAATTGGTATTTAGGTAATTCAGTTTTCCAAATAAGTAAAAAGAATCTTTTTTTTGTGTGTTTACTTAAATCTAATCTACCTATTCAAGGTTTTTGATAGTTGCTGCACAAAGAAAACCAGTGCTTCTTATTGCATCAAATTCATCACCGAGTTCTTCCACCTAATAGTTTCTTAAATCTGTAAAACAATAAGCATGGATTTTTTTCTTGATACATAATGTGGAATTGTCAATAAAACAACCCGTATGAATTATTGCTGCAGCAGTTTGGAATTGTCTTATGAAGTATAAAGCTCTCAAAAACTTCAACTTTCCTCCAACAGAAACCTGCGAGTTGCTCATTCTGGATAGAATAATCGACCAGGTTCATACTTCATACATTATTATATATTCCTATTGCAAATCTGTTGTTTTGAATTTGTCTTGTTTTTTTTTTCTAGATTGCTCATGTTATTCACGAATGGAGATCTGGTGCCACGTGCCATGAGTTACTTAACATGGATAGGAATAAATATGTTCATGAGGTTAGTCTCTGTTTCTAGGCATGGATTGTTCATCGATTTTTTTTACCTTTATTTTATGGTGAGTCATGTTGTATTCTCTTGGCTTCTAATATCTTATTTAAAATTGGTTTATAACTTTGAAAGTATATTTGAATCTTTGATCTCTATTTTCTTTCTTAATACAACTCATGGGCAGTTTTCTTTTTTACTTAATGGGCTTAATGAGTTCAACACTTAAATTTGGACAACTATGGTTGTTTCTTTTTTACTTATCTAAATTTATAAAAAGTTCAACATTGTAATTACATGTGATTCACATGTAAATCACATATGAATTACATGTGATTCACATGTAAATCACATTTAATTCACATGTGATTCAAAAAATACTTGTTTTAAAAAAATCTGAAAATTTGAAAATTTTGCACTTTTTTTAAAAAAAAAATTGAAAAATACTTTTTTTAAAAAAATATGAAAATTTGATTAATTATGTAATTTTTTAGACATTTCTATTAATATTTCCAATAACACAAAAAATTAAACATTAAATGATATTGGTATGATTACGATCATGCCCTCAATGAATTAGTTTTGATCTAACACTCAACTTTTAGTTATCGGGAAACTATGAGTTCTCAACCGATCTCACCCCTATATATATATATATATATATATATATATATATATATATATATATATATATATATATATATATATATATATATATATATATATGGGTGAGATCGGTTGAGAACTCATAGTTTCCCGAGAACCCGAGAACTAAAAAGTGGAGCGTTAGATCAAAACTAATTCATTAAGGGCATGATCGTAATCATACCAATATCATTTAATGTTTAATTTTTTGTGTTATTGGAAATATTTATAGAAATGTCTAAAAAATTACATAATTAACCAAATTTTCAAATTTAAAAAAAAAAAAAGTATTTTTCAATTTTTTTTAAAAAGTGCAAATTTTTCAATTCCGGTGTTGGTGGTTGGTGGTGGGTAGTCGGTAGTGGTGGTGGTGGAGGTGATGAGTATTGGATGGTAGATGGTGAATAGTGGTGGTGGTGGGTGGTGGTGATGTCCAATAATGGATGAAGAGGGTGGTGGTTGTGGGTGGTGGGGTATGGGTGGTGGGGTATGGGTGGGTAGTGGGTGGTGGTGGTGGTGGGTGGGAGGTGGTGATGATGAATGGAAGTGGGTGGTGGTAGGGGTGGTGGTAGGGGTGATGGTTGGATGGTGGATGTGGTGGTGGGTGGTAGGTAGTCGGTAGTATTAGGGGTGGTAGATGGATGGTGCATGGGGGTAGTGGTGGTGTTGGGAGGTGGTAGTGGGTGGTGGGGTGGATAGGGGTGGGTAATGGGGATGATAGGGATAGTGGGTGGGTGGTGGGTAGTCGGTAGTGGTGGTGGGACTCGGGTGGTGGTGGTTTTGGTGATAGGTGGTGGTTAGAGGTGGGTGATAGGTTGTAACCCCCGCAGATTCGGGCTATTCATTTTAGAGACAATAAGCATCAAAAATGAGTTTTTGATGGAATATTATTTAGAAGGAT